GACGACTTCTATCACCAACTGAACGAACTCCTTCGCCACAGAAGAAGCTCGGACACTGTAGTGCTGGCTGGGGATCTGAACGCTCAAGTTGGAAAATTATCCGCAGATGAGCTGCATCTGGGCGGCCAACATGGTATAGGCTCCCGTAATGATAACGGTGAGCGGTTACTTCATTTGTGTGAGGATGCTCGCTTATCTCTTGCGAGCACTAATTTCCGACACAGCACCCGCCGGAGGGTGACTTGGCGCCCACCAGCCTCGAACCAGCTATGGACGCAAATCGATCACATTGCTATCAGTTACCGCTGGAGAGGCTGCGTCCAAAACTGTCGCTCGATTTGGAGCACAGGTGTGGACACCGATCATGCACTTGTATGTGCTGACCTGCGGATGCGCTTTGGCGGACGCCCGCGACGATGTGAGCGCATTGACACCGGCAGACTGGTGAATTCAGCTGTTCTGAACGCCTATCAAATTACGCTGTCATCCGAGTTGGATAAACGCTCACTGGATGCAATTGAAGCTCACTGGTCTCATATGCAACAGGCCTTACTAGCAGCAGGCAAATCCTCATGTGGTATGTCTAACCGCCAACATGAACATTGGGTCTCTTCACAGTCTTTGGAACTTATAGATGCTCGCCGGCATATTCCGGCTGGAAGCGAACACAATGAAACTCGCAAAGAGCTCCGGGCAAAACTCCGTGCTAGCCTGAAGAGAGACCGCGAATCCTGGTGGTCTCATCGTGCGTCAGAGATGGAAATGGCCCCTGCCCTTGGTAACCATCGTAAGTTATTCCGTCTTATACGGGAAACGGGCAGCAGGAGACCTGGTGTTAGTGAAACTATACGTGACGAGAGTGGACAGCCCATCCACAATTTATCAAAACGCCTGGAACGTTGGGCTGAGCACTTTGAAAGGCAATTTAATCGGTCGGAATTGTTAGATTTCTCGCCGACCAGTGATCGCCCTGCTCCGTGGGCTGTTCCTTTGGATCCACCCTCTCGCTCAGAAGTCGAACATGAGATTAAACTGTTGAAGTTAAATAAAGCCGCGGGACCTGATGACCTTCCTCCAGCCCTTTTCAAATTCGGGGGACCTGCTCTTGTGGATGATTTACACGAGTTACTAGTGAGACTGTGGGAGCAGTAAACTGTCCCAACCGATTGGAGCCGCTCCATCATAGTCCCAATTTTCAAAGGAGGCTCACGATCGGAATGCGGCAGCCATAGAGGAATCAGTCTGATTTTTATCGCCTCCAAATTGCTTGCCTCTGTCATCCTTCACAGACTGACTGGCACCCGTGAAAGCCAGATTCGTGAAGAGCAAGCTGGATTTCGTCGAGGTCGTAGCTGCATTGACCACATCTTCACCTTGCGTCAGTTGTTGGAGCACCGTCACATATATTGGCGGCCCACCGTTGTCGTGTTCCTCGATATCAAAGGTGCATTCGATTCGGTGGATAGACATGCACTTTGGGACTGTCTACTCAGGAAAGGTGTACCTGAGAAATATGTGAATATTATCCGAGCATTATACGCTCGTAGCTCGGGCAGAGTGAGGGCTTACGGCAAGTTGTCGTCGCCCTTTAATATCTCCAGCGGCGTGAGACAAGGATGCCCGCTGTCACCTTTCCTCTTCAACTTCGCTGTTGACGAAGTCATGGAAATCGCGTTCACAGGACACGACTTAGAAGGTGTGGATCTGCTTCCAGGAGAACGACTTCTTGACTTGGAGTATGCTGATGATATTGCCCTAATCTGTGACAGCTCACAAACGTGTCAAATGGCACTGGACAGATTAGCACTAGCTGTCCGTCACTTCGGACTTTGCTTCGCACCCTCGAAGTGCAAAGCGTTTCTCCAAGATTGGTCTGGACCGCCTCCTACGCTGACCCTTGGTGGGGATCAGCTAGAAGTCGTTCAAAAAATTCAACTACCTGGGAAGTTGTATCAGCGCCCGTGGGATTGAAGATGAAATCACGAATCGTATAGCAAAAGCTCGGGGCGCTTTTGCTAACCTTCGCCACTTATGGCGCCGGCGCGACATCACTCTTTCCCTGAAGGGTAGAGTGTACAATGCAGCAGTACGTTCGACCCTATTGTACGGTTGTGAAACCTGGCCGCTTAAAGCAGCGGACCTGAAGAGGCTAGTTACGTTCGACCACCGGTGCCTTCGTAATTTAGCTCACATTTGGTGGGAACACCGCGTGAGTAACGAGCGTGTTCGACGCCTTGTTTATGGCACAGGAAAAGGAAATGAACCGCTCAGCACCGTTATTTCACGCATCAGGCTCCGATGGCTCGGCCACGTGTTACGCATGCCAGCCCACCGACTTCCGCGACGTGTGTTGTTTGCGCGCCGGGGGGTGTGGATGGAAGAAGAGGAGGGGTGGCCAAGCGATGACTTGGTCCAGAGGAATGAAGACCCTCACTTCTGAGCTGGCCTCGGTTGGAGCGTCTCGGCTCTCTGGTTGGGGTCCGAAAGACGATGAACACGTTTGGTTGGACACACTTGCTGATATGGCTAGGAGCCGACCTCGGTGGCGTTCGTGCTGTGAGTTTCTTTGTCCCACCCCATCCCTCTTAGCCTCCCCCTCCAACCACGATCTCATTACTTAGCCTTATATAATTTTGCATAATAATTTTTTTTGGGTGCACAGCAGCCGGCTGGTAGCTTGCCGGAACGATGCCCATCCGTTGCCGGTAGCTCAGCCAGCTTTCACCAGTTGTTTTTTTCTCTCCTTTTTTCCTTGTATTGCGGCACAGTAGCTGAGGTGTTTCCCACCTCTAGCTAACGTGTATGATGATGATGATGACTCAGGGCAATGCCAACATCAGCTTGGCCGGTGCTCGAAGCTGCATTGTTACCGGATAGACGCAATGAGAAAATACTGCTTGCGTCACCTGAAGGAGATCGCAGAGTGAGCACAGTGCTTGAGTATTGCAGGTGGGTCTTCGATAAGCAGCAGATATCAATCGAGAGGATCTCTAATGTATAGGAAAGTGCTGCTTGTTGGCGGATCTGTAGCAATGTGCGTTCATTGAGGCATGCCAAGCTGAAGGAGGATCGAAGGCTCCAAATGGAAGCCGATAAACTGGAATGGATCGCTTGATTAGACATGGGCTTGTCGGCAGGAGAGAAGTGACGCTCCGCGTTAGCATGAGTTGAAATCAGATAAACGCCTAGCAAAGCATGTTGGGGGAGGGCTAAGAATTAAGGGGTTGAAAACTGGGGGGGATATAAGTGAAGTTGGAACAGGATCATAAGGGGAAAAACGTAAGAGGGTGAATAAGAAGACGGGAAGGCTTGAGCAGCAGCATCCAAACCCCTATCCACGCTGCTCGATGCAACAGATAGGGCAACGTCAATTATCATCTGCGGTGGCCAGAGCATCAGAAATTTATCTGAAGAGATTCATGGTATTGCGTGGGCAGGATACTGTCAGGTTGCTCAGGCCTAGACAGAAGAACGATTAGGATGCTCAACCAAAGCCTTTGGTTCAAAAACCTGACCGCAAGGCAGCGGGTTTTGCGGTAGGTTAAAAGAAGTCTGTTTTAAGGAATAAGGAGCCATCCTCATTCCAACCCCCAACCTGGAAGACCAGGTGAGTAAGTTTAGCTGTTATGAGTGGCTATGAAGGTGCAACAAGCACCACCCAACACAGCTCAATGAACCACTGAGCCGCGCAAACGATCGCACCACGGTAAGGTCCAGCCTCATTGCGATGGACCAACTGCGTTAATCACCGGTGGTGACAAGTTACTAGCTTCAATTTTGGTTCGTCACCTAACTGCGAAACGAGAATCCCGGATTACGGAAGAGCAGGTAGGCTTCTGCCCAGGATGTGGCAGTATAGTCCACATGTTCACTCTGCGGCGGGTGCTAGAGCAGCGCCACATGTACGGCAGATCGATAATAGCTGTTTTCCTCGACTTAAAGAGTGCCTTCGACTCAGTCGGCTTATGCATCCTGTTTGAAGTACTTGCGTGAAAAGGTGTTCCCAGGGAATATTTGAACATTTACGTGTTCTATACTCGACCGCCACAGGCCGTGTCGGGGTCTACGGTGACCTGTCGGACGCCGTTCCGTCAACAAATGGCGCTCGCCAAGGCTGCCCAATTTCCTTTTTTGTGTAACTTCGTCGTGGACTCTATCATGTAGTGTTGCCTTGCGGAGCCTCACGATGCAGGCGTTGTGATGCTGCTTGGTGAAAAGTTAGTTGATCTTGAATATGCGGACGATTTGTCTTGTTGTTTACTGGTGTTGGGGCGGCCCAATCGACCATGAATAACCTATGTATAGTGATCCAATTCTTTAGCATGCGCTTCGCACCTTCAAAGTGCAGTGCTGTTACATGACCCCCAGCCTTGGCCCTTGATGGGGAGGAACTCGAGGTGGATGGTCCCTTCAACTACTTTGGCAGCTGTTTCAGCAAGGACGTGCGCATAGCAGCTGAAGTCAGTTCACGAGCTACAAAAGCTTGAACTGCTATTTTGTACCTTTGGCGTCAGAAAGGGTTTCCATCCTTTTAAAATTCCGTGTATGCCAGGCCACTGTGAGGGCCGTTCTATTCTATGGAAGCGAAAGTTGGCCCCTTCGATCCGAGAACCCGAGGCGCCTTCAAGTCTTTGATCGTCATGGTCTAGGAACCATTGTTTGGGTCGGATGGCACCAGCATGTTCGCAACGTTGAGGTGCGTAACTGTGTACTATGCAGTGATAATTAGGCTAGTTACTTCCTTTTCTCCTGCCTACAAATAATTCTACAGTTTGACTCCATTTGTGTACCTTGCTACAATCATATCTGGTTCCACCGCTTTCTGGGAAGTGCTTGGAAAAGACCTGGCTAGCCGATGGATACTGGCATTGCTAAACAGCCTACCACTGGGGTGAAATAAAACGAAAATTCAACTACGTTTCAAGTAACTAAAAAAGAGGCGCTGGCGTGATCAAATATTATGAAAGTGTATGCGGAGGATAACTAGAAAACCTGCTTACAACAGTGGAGATTTTCTGACTCCCAAGCGTAACTCGGAAAAGACAACAATTTTCAGCAGGGTGATGAGAATCCGCCTGTTGCTTATTTTTTCTGGGGATGGGTTTGGTGCGTCCATCATCTGTAAATGGGCTGTAAGTAATGTAAATGACACGTACATCGCTTCATGGTTATACAAAGAGAACCACCACTTCTGGACTGGACAAACAGCTTATTAAGATGAGTCAGAAACTAAAAATAAGTTAGGCCCCAAAACAGGACTGACCGTATCGTTGTCAAGCAACATGTCCAAGAAACCAACGGACTAGACGTGGTATACACGCCACGGTGTGAAGTGCAACTAGTCAAGGCCGAATCCAAGGCCACGGGTTTCACGGGTTTCACGGGTTTGCGCAGAACGAGTAAGCGTAGCTTTTCGGTGGTTCTGCCTCGGGATCTTACGGCAAGGTCCTGATCTCGTCGGTAGGTAAGCCAAGTTGGATAGCAAGGTAAGCACAAAATAAAATTTCCATGGCCCAGAAAAGCCTTCACTTAACGAAGGGATTAAGCGCGCTAAAAGTAAACTGAACTCTTAAAATTGAATAGCATTAAAATGGAAATCTCTACTGCTCAGTAAGTGAACAAAATGCATGCAAAACCTTTTATCGAAGGTTCGTATGTAAACACTGCATCGTATACATGACAAATTTGGATCGTCTACTGTGTTATTAGATCAACGTTTTGTTGAGGCTAGCTAGAGATTACATTGTTCCGAATACTAACATTGTTGCCCTTCGAACTTTTCCAACGAACGGCGAAACCGATCTCAACATTGTGGATTTTCGCGTTGTTCAAAAAACCCAGAGGACCCGCTGGAAGCCAATCCTTTCGATACCCAGCCCTTATGTCTAAATAGCGGTCTGCGAGTGGTAGTTGCCAATGTACCCATCCTTAAAAACAAGCTCGACGAGATTCCTCTTCACATTACTGAGCATCAGCCAGATTTACTGGCTTTTACCGAGACCTGGTTATTAACAGAGACCCAGGACACTAAGACTAACATACCAGGAAAGCAAACCTTACGAGCAGATCGCTCCAGTGGGCGGACTGGTGGAGTACTACTCCACTCGAAGCCCTGCCTCAAGGTACACATTATCGAAGCTCTCCGTGACAATGACGGAGCCTCAGATATACTGTATTGCCGAATTCATGAGGGCTACCAGCTGCACACGGTCTGTTTGGCTTACAGAGCTCCACTGAGCTCAGGCGTCCGTCTATTACAGTTGGCATAAACCAATGGACAAGCAAGGAACTGTCTGCTAATGGGCGACTTCAATCACCCTGTGTCGACTGGAACCGCCTTTACTGTGATCTTCACCAAGCTTCCTTCGGGAATGGTTTTCTCGACGCTATTCACGAATGCTATCCGATCCAGCACATCCCGGTGCAAACACGGATGATACCGGGTAAAACACCAAACCTACTGGATCCCGTCATCACACCAGCGCTCTTTGATGTCCATGGCCTGGAGATTCTACAACAACTCGGTCGGAGTGATCACTCTGCAATCTCCCGCTTTTGGGCTTGCCGCTTTGTCATATATCATCAAGGGACGCCGTCGCAACTTCTGGCGTGTTGCCCCATCCAGCTTACGAGAAGTGGAAAGCACCACAGACTGGACCATTCCACAGTCCCTGAACCTTGATAAAGCATGGAACTTACTGCGCTCGAAGGTGATGTCGGTCATCGAAAAAGTTGTTCCTATCACCGAGGACAGGCATTTCCCCAAAGGCCCCCGTGGATCGACCGAGAGGTGAGATCCCTGAGTAACAGACGACTCAAACTGTGGGATATGTCCAAGTCAACACAGGTAATGTCAGATTAGTCACGCACAAAGTGATCAGAAATATGTGCACTCTAAGCCGCCGGAAACGAGCACAATAAGAACATGGCCTAATCATGGCGTTACGAACCTGCATAAAGAAGCTGTTTTTGTACCTGAAAGAAAACACCAAGGCTGGCAGTGTTATCACTGCTTTATCCTGCCAGGAAGAGGGCACGAAGCTCTACGAAGATGACTAGAATGCTTAACTACCAGCCTCGCAAAACACCTCGATCTACTCCGTCACTACCCACTGTCGATGTGGCAACGCATTACCCTCCTCTCGGGCAAGTCGTACTCAATCCCGAGATAGTCAAGAAACTCTTTCTTGAACTAAACCCTAACTCCGCACCGGGCCGTGATGGACTTCACCCGTTATTCCTCAAGGTGGTAGCTGAATTGCTGAGCCGATACATCAAGTTTTCCGGCGTTCTGTTGCGGACGGACGCCTTCCACCTGAATGGGAACTAGGGATTATAATGCCTAAGTACAAAGGTGGGAACCGGCAAGAGCCTGTAAACTATCGACCATTATGCCTGACGAGTGTGCGTTGCAAGCTCATGGAACTTCTCGTCAAGCGAGCCCTCCAAACCCACTGCGAAAGCCTGACCACCATCTTCCCCTCTAAGCACGGATTCCGCGTAGCTCGCTCCTGCATCTCTAACCTGCTGGTTGCTAGCATAGCATGGGTCAAAGCGGTGGACGACCGGTGACACCTAGATGTTATCTACATTGACTTCAGCAAGGCCTTTGACAAAGTCCCACACAAACGATTTCTGCTTAAACACCAGAGAAATGGCGCCACCGGGAACGTCCTTGCATGGGTTGCGGACTTCTTGAGAGATCAGACTCTTCAAGTGAAGGTGAACCAAACACTGTCTGGCTCTGTGTCTATGGCTAGCGGAGTCTTCCAATGCTCTGTCGTTGTGTCCGAACTTTCCAAGCTCTACATTAATGACCTCCCTGCAGCTCTTCAAGCCGACTGCTTAGTCTACGCTTATGATCTCAAGCTATGTTCAGAAGTAGCTAGTCTTGAAAACGCGGACGGATCCCAAACGGCGCTGGACCAGCTGCACCACTGGTCCGTCGACTGGCTACTATCAGTTAGCCATGATTAATGTGCTGTTCTTCCGATTGGTAGCCCGTATACATTCAGTGTATACCACATTGGTGGACATCTTCTCAAGAAGGTCCTGCACGAGAAGGATCTGTGGTTTATCGTGTCATATGAACCTAAAGGTTCCCAAGGCACCTTGAGAAAGGTCGCGGCCGCAACCAGGATGCCGGGTGCTCTACCCAGGTCGTTCTCAAGCAATTTTCCGCACTCCACATCACATATCCGCCCGAGGTTGGAGTATGGACTTCCAGCTACCTATCCTCTCTTAAAAGCTGAATGTCCTGCCGCGATCTTGCCTCACCTGAACAGTATTTCTCTCTCTGCCTGCTCCTATGCTACTGAGACTTAAGCGGTGTACGCTCCGCAGACTAAGCAAGATGTTTCCCTTACATCTACAGCCTGCTAGAGTTGCCCACCATTTATTGTTAGCTCTTTTCTCCCCTTTACTATATGTCCTTACGCAATCGCGACGACTAATCAAGGCTTACCTGATCGGCCTCCTGCTCTCCGGATTCCTTCAGATTTCTGAGAGGTCACCTCTTGGTTCGGCTGACTACACTATCCCTTTACATTACCTGGAGAGCCCCGTGGGCTTTTCCCACCTTTCGTCAATAAACCTTTCTCATCCTGCCGCTAACTTATTTTTATCGCGCTCTGTCTTTAATTTTTCTTCAACGGGAGTACCAGATCTCACTGCTCTCCGGTGATCTAGTCCGACTGATCAGTTTCTTTCTCTCTGACTGCTCCGATGCTACCCAGACTTAAGCGGTATACGCTTTGCAGACTCAACGCTCTTGTTCCCCTACCCGTGCGGCTGCTAGACTCGTTCACCCTCTGTCGTTGCGGCCCCTTTTCCTGCTTTTATTGCACGTTCTATCCCTACGCGTTGACTGATCCAGTCTCACCAGATCGGCCACTTGTTATCCGATTTCACGCAGAGTTCTTCGACGTTACAAATCTTGGTTCGGCTGACCCAAAGGTTTGTTTACATCACCTGGAAAGCCTCGTGGGCTCCTCCACTTTTTTATCAATAAACCCTTCTCACCCCGACCCTAACCTTTTCTTATCTCGCCTGCTGTTTTCATTCTTTTTTCAATCAGGCGGCCGGCTTTACTGCCCTGCCTTGATCTTGTCCCACCGGACTAGCCTGTTTCTCTCTGACTTCTACCGTGTTACCGAGACTTAAACGATACACGCTCCGCGGAATTAACGCTGTTACCCCTACTCTGAGGGACTGATAGACTTGTTCCCTCGTTAGTGTTATGACTTTGTTCTTATATTTATTTTACGCCCTAATCCCAAAGCGCCGATTAATCCAGTCCCGCTTAGTCGGCCTCCTACCCAATGAATACATGTGGACTTCTGAGACATTATTTCTCTTGCTTGGGCTGACCTAATGGTTCTGTATACATTAGGTGGAGAGACTCGTGGGCTTTTCCACTGTTTACCAATAAACCCTTCTCATCCAGACCCTAACCTTTTCTTATATCGCTTTCCGTTTTCATTCCTCTTTCAATCGGACGTTTTGTTTACACCATCTAGAAAGCCTCGTGCGATCCTCCACTCTCTATCAATAAACTTGTCTCATCCCATTCATAACCTTCTCTTATCATGATCTATGCTCTTAATCTTTCTTCCATCGGAGGACCAGTTCTCACTGCCTTTCTGTGGGGCTTGTCTTACTTGAACAGTCTACAGTTGTTCTCACCACAATTGTACGAAATAACTTCACTGCACCGAATAATCACTTCCTATCGGAACGTTCTGCTGCCCTCCTATTACTCCCAGATATCGTTGCCACTTCCGACAAGCGTCTGGCGGCGACTTCGCTCTCTTCCACTTGCGTCTAGACCCCTGTTGCTTTTATTTTCCTCTTATCCATGGCCTTCTCCGTTATTGCGCTCCAGTTTCATTCCCACGGTTTACAATCATTACGCCTAACTACGTTATCCTCGTGCGTATGGCCTCCTCCCCTCCGACCTCGCTCCTGATTACTTGCGGCACTCGGACCATCGCTAAGTGTTTCTTGACTAGTACTTCCATTAGTATGCTCAGCTTACCACTCTTCATATGCCTCTGCTTTTTACCTTATGTTCGCGCTTGCCTGTTAGTGTGACCGTACGTGACTTAACGACTCCCAATGCACGACAGCTTCGGCCCTCTGTGACCTATTTCTCTAGATTCTGACGGCTTTTGGACTGTGGAATCGTGAGCGCTTTAACGTAATAACCCTCACGAATTACTCTTCGCACTGCTGTCCGCATTCATCCGTTCCTAGCCGATTCTTTGAACTTACTTTTCCTCCTGGAACGTTTCTTTACGTAGGTTGCGCCCGCATTCGGTCTCAACTTAGTTGTCCTTTGTTTCACCTAAGATGCCTCTCACAT